AGAAAGAAAGAAAGAAAGAAAGAAAGAAAGAAAGAAAGAAAGAAAGAAAGAAAGAAAGAAAAAGAAAGAGAAAGAAAGGGAGAGAAAATGGTGTTTTGGTATACGACCCAAGCTGATCCCAATCTCCTGGGCTTAACTGAATCTCCCAAGTGGCCAGAATGATACAGGTACCACTATTCTCAGCCTCATTACATTTTCTTAAACCTCCTTTTATAGAAAACTTCCAAGTACGTAAGGTAAAAAGAATAATATATTAATCTTCTTTTACTGCTCCCTCCCATTCTTAGAAGCAAATACCAAACACTGCATCATTTCATCTGTAGATGGCCTAGTGTGCATGTTTCAAAAATGTATCTACAATGTAATTATCATACCTTAGAAAGTTAACAGAACATGTGTAAGACCTCAAAGCAATAAAAACATTCTGAGAGAAATGTACTAAATACACAGTAGTACATAATCCACTGTGCTGGAAGTCTCCATAGTGAAATGTGTCCACTATACCCGAATTGGTCTATCAGTTCTGCACTAAGTGACTCAAAACTCTAGCAAGCCTCCCTCCCCCACTTGGGTGGTGCAGTGGAGTGACAGCTGGGAAACTACCCACAAGCTGAGTATAAATTTTTTTTTTAAATGACTAAGGGTAAAGGCAATTTTGAAGAACAAAGTTGGAAGATTTAAATTACTGGGTATCAAGACTCATGACACTATAATAATTTTTAAAGTATGACACTGGGACAACAGCAGATAGACCAATGAAACGGAAGGGATTGCAAAAATAAACCCATAAATACAAATTCACCTGAATTAGTACCAAGGTACTAATGCATTTCACTAGGGAAAAAAGACAGCTTTTTCAAAAAAGAATACTAGAACTTTTGACTTTCCATGTTAAAAAAAAAGAACCATGAATCCTATCTTATACATAGAAGTGAATGTAATGGTTAATGTTTTAATTTCATTTTAAAATGTAGTGGTTAAAACAATCAAATTTGGGGGCTGGGGATTTAGCTCAGCGGCAAAAGCACCTGCCTGGCAAGCGCAAGGTCGTGAGTTCGGTTCCCGGTACTGGAGAAAAACCAAAAAAAACCAAAAAAACAAAAAAACAAAAAAACAATCAAATTTATATAAAGAAAGAGAAGGGTATATTTTTAGCTTTGGGGTAAAGATTTCTCCCTTCCCCTTTTCTTTTTTTTCTTTTGTAGACAGGGTCTTGTTATGTAGTCCAGGATCACCCTGAACTTACTATGTAGCCCCACTGGCCTTGAACTCATAGCAGTTCTCCTGCTTTAGCTTCCCAAGTGCTGGGACTGTGCTGTCACACCTGGTAGGATTTCTTAAAACACAAAAAACTACTAACTATAAAATATTAATTTGGTAAAATGAGCTTTAATAAGATTAAAAAATGAAGATATTGTACTGAAATAGTGAGGAAGCAACCCAAAGGCTAGAAAAGGTATTTTTAATATATAATTCAACAAACATCTAAAATTATCTTCTTGGGTAATCAAGACAAGCAACCCAATAGAAAAATGTACAAAATCCTAGGTATGGCCTACATTCTCATTAATGAATGGATAAAGAAAATGTGGTATTTATGATACACAATGGAATCTACTCTGCCACAAAGAAGGCTAAACTTGACTCACAACAATTGATACACCTTGAGCCCACAATATGTATTAAGTGAAATAAATCAGACACACAGCTTAAATACCTACAGTTTCTCTTACACAAGAAACTGAAAATACAAATAAAGAGCAAAATAAAAAGGCAAATAATAGGAAGCAGGAAGATATCTTTCAAACAGGAAGGGAAACAACAGATGATGGGAGGGAAAGGGGATGGAAAGAAGAATGGAATAGACCTTCTGCCAATGGGAAGAGGGATCAAGAGCAGCACAGCGAGGTGGACGAGGACTTGTGCATGAAAAAAAGGAAGATGTGTTGTTTACATGCAGCAACTCCCCAGGACAAATGCGATCATTACTACCCATATGTGCTAATAAAAAGTGCCAACAGGCAATAGGTATACAAGACTGTGACAGATCTCCACAGAATCGTGAATAAACTCGCACTACATATGCACCAGACGAGCTAAAACTAAAAATACTAATAATTTCAAGTGTTGGTAAGGATGTAAAGCAAGGAGAATTTCTGTACATTGCTGGTGAGAATGTAAACTGATTTCATTTCTTTAAAAAACTAAAATAACCTACTATAGCAAAATAGCTAAATACCCTCTGACCCAAAAATCTCACTCTTAGGTGTTTACCTAGCAGGACAGACCAAAAAACACACTCAAGAATGTTCACAACAGTGTTTTATTATTTACAGTACTGGGGACTGAACCCATGGCCTTTTCACAGAGCTAAATCCCCAGTTTTTTCTTAGTTTTTTTATTGTGACACAATGTCTCCAGAAATTGCTCAGGTTGAGCTCAATCTTTTCACCCTCCTACCTCAGCCTCTCAGAATACTGGGACAGGTGTGTGCCACCACACCTGGCTAGAGCAGTGTTATTCATAATGACCAAAACCTGTGAACAACCCACACGTTCATCAGCGGTAAATGGATAAATTGTGATATCTCCATGCAATGAGGTGTTTCATGGTAATGAAAAAAATGAACTTTTGCTTTACGTATTAACATGGACAATTAATAAACAAGATCATAAAAAGCTAGACATAGAACTAAAAAATAGACACTAGCAATATATGGTGAATAAAATCAGAAACTGTACAAAAGGTATATTCAACCCTTTCAAGTGTTTTAAGATATTAAGATAACAAAACTTAGTAAAAATTGAAAATATTAACTTTCTTTCTTATTCCCACATACAACCATTTCAAAACAAAAATAACAGGGAAATCCAATTCTCTTGATTTACAAAAGTACACGTCCATCTACCAGCTCATGGGCTACACTTTCCAGGGGAGGAGACGGCGTGAGGCGGTCGCTAAGAACTAGAAGCAGCTCTCATCTCCAAGATTCCCCAACTCGCCTCTGAAGCTTGCAGTCAAACTACAAACACTTTTCCAAGCACACAGAACGCGAAGGGTCGACTTATTCAGAAAGGGTCCGTATAGTAATTTTTTTGTTTTTGCTCTTGTTTTGTTTTGTTTCCTGAGCCCTTAGGACTCAATCAGCTGTCACTATAGCTTAAAAGCAGCCATACGATTTTTTTTAAGTGCCTATGTTCTAATAAAGCTTTGTGAACAATGAAATTTGAGTTTCACCTCTCTTATGCTACAAATTAGTACTCTGAGGGATTTTTTTTCAGCTCTTTAAAAATACTATTAATACCGTTTTTAGTTCATGAATCACACAACACTGTACAGGAGGCTGAATTTAGTACTATGCAGACCCCTCATGGAAATTCACAGGTGCACTGGAACTACAGCTAGATGACTGCCTCTTCTCTACCTCAGCACTGACAGAGTATCTCTGAACCTAAAATCAGGCAGGAAGTAAATTCTTATTCTACTTTCCAGTCATTTGCAAATCACCTTCCTATATCTCAGAAAAGACAAGAAGATGTAACTCACTTTGAGCAGTAACTTTCAGAAATATCAGAAACTGCTAAAATGGAAGTCCATGTGGATTTACATTGTTGAGTAATGTTCACTCCTTATAAGAATGTAAATTCAAAAATAAAAGCTAGCATACCTGAGTTCAAAATGAAGACTGTCGACATCTAGTGAAACTCACCAAGCTCTAAAGACTGACTTAGGAGGTGTGCAGAATGTTTTGAAGGCATCTTAGAATGTCACAGAATCAGGTGAGTTTCAGCAGCTTCCCTGGAAGAAACAACTCTGTAAATAAAGGCAGTTGCTAAAATAACGCTAAGCAAATTCTAAGTAACACTGAAGCTTTTGCTTTGTTTTGTTTTGTTTTGTTTTGTTCTGGAGTATGGCACTCAGGGCCTCTAACACTGAGCTACCTTATCAGCCTTTTTAAATTTTATTTTGAAATAAGGTCTTACTATGCTGCCCAGGCTGCCCTCAAATTTGTGATTCTCCTGCCTCAGCCTTCTAAGCAGCTGAGATTACAGGCACCTGCATCCAGCATCCAGTATGTCCATTCATCCATGTGTAGAACATCTATTGAAAGCCTGCTACATGCAAAGAATTCACAAGCAACATATCAGGTCCTATCAATCTTTAGGACAGTGGTGGCGAACCTACAACACATACACTGCAGCAGACTGTATCACTGAAAGCTCTAAACAGTTCGCCATCACTCCCTTAGGAGAACTCAGTCTGTAGGGCAACTCCAATGGAAACGAAAAGCTTGAATGACTCTAAAAACAGGAAGAGAAGCCAAGATAGAAACACAAACTAGTCCGCTGGGAGTTTCTCAGGAAAGTTTTACTAAAAGAGGGGCATTTAATGCAATCATGAATACAATCTAGCCAAATAAAGCAAGGAGGTGGAGGAAAGAAAGAACATGTTTTGTCCAAAGAAAACAGTATGGTCAGAGGGCGAGACACAGGAAAGAATATGACATTTGTATGAAAATAACATAGTTTACCATGGCTGGTCAGAATGAAAAAGGGAACAATAAGGGCAAAGAGAGAACAGAATACATGCGCACATAACGCTAAGAGGCAGAGCTCATTTTAAACCCTCCCCACCTGCCTACAGCACTAACCATTCTCACGCACTGGGAAGGGAGCTGAGTGGAAGACTCTAGAGAACTTCAGGAAGCTTTTGCAGAGGCCCAAGGGAGGGCTGCCCCGGGCCAGCAACCAGCCTCCCTACGGACAGATGAAAGGCTCAACTGACCATCGGGGACTCATCGTGCACAGTAACAGGGGAAAGGTCAGTTTCAGCATTCTCAGTTTCTGACAGTTACCAAGGACTTTCCTATGTTTAAGTCCCATTTGAAGGGTTTTACATGTACTGATTTAATATTCACAGCATCCTTATGTTATTAGCTTATTATACATGTTATTAGCTTATTCATTCAGAATGATTTTAATGACAAATTCCATCATATAGTTTCATGTTCTTTTATTAACAATAATTTCTATGTACTCTATTCTTTTCCACTGATCTATCTATTTCAGGTTTTCATCAATTCTGGAATCTTGATTACTATAGTTTTATACTAATCTTGAAGTCAACCAGTATCTGACTTCTTTGTTCCTTTCCTTCAATTTTGAGTTTGCAGTTCTTGGACCTTTGTTTTTCCATATAAACTTTAGAAGAAGGTTGTTGACTTCTACAAAATAAATCACTGGGATTTTGACTGGGGTTGTATGTAATTTGTAGATCAAGATGCTAAGAACTGACATCTTGGTAATATTAAGTCTTCCTATTCATGAGCACGTAACTCTTTAGTTCTTTTACTGTTCAACAGTTTTGAAGTTCTCATCAATAGATCTTACATATATTTTACTAAACTTACATCTAAGTATTCATATTTAGGGGTGTTAATGTAAACAATATTGCATTTTTCAATTCTACTTGATTGTACAATGAAACATGTGTTACTTTTATACGTCAACATTACATCCTGCTACTTTGGTGGAACTGTTTATTGATTCAAGGAGGAATTTTTTGGCCAATTCTTTTAAATTTTCTGTAAAGACAATTATGTCATCTCTAGACAAGTTTTATTTCTTCTCAACTAATAACCTTTTTGTTTCAGTTTCTTGTCTTCCTGTACTAAGATTTTCAGTATGCTGCTGAAAAAAATTGTAAAAGGGGACATCTTCAACTTGTCCCTGATCTTACTGGGAATTTTCACATGTAGATTCTTACCATTAAATATAACGCTAGTTGTAGAGTATCTTTTTT